GTATTTTAAAGAATCCTTATTGAGGGTGCAGGAACAAACCATCCCAATGTGCAGAAAGAATAGCAAATATGGCAGGCGACCAGCTTGGCTTAACAGTGAAATCTTCGGTGAGCTTAAACTCAAAAAGGAAGCTTACAAGAAGTGGAAACTTGGACAGATGACTAGGGAGGAGTAAAATATTGCTCAAGCAGGCAGGGGTGTAATCAGGAAGGCTAAAACACAATTGGAGTTGCAGCTAGCAAGGGCTGTGAAGGGTAACAAGAAGGGTTTCTACAGGTATGTTAGCAACAAGAAGAAGGTCAGGGAAAGAGTGGGCCCCTTACTGAATGGGGGAGGCAACCTAGTGACAGATGATGTGGAAAAAGCTGAAGTACTCAATGCTTTTTTTGCCTTGGTCTTCACAAACAAGGTCAGCTCCCAGACTACTGCACTGGGCCACACAGTATGGGGAGGAGGTGACCAGCCCTCTCTGGAGAAAGAACAGGTTCAGAACTATTTAGAAAAGCTGAATGAGCACAAGTCCATGGGTCCAGATCTAATGCATCCGAGGGTGCTGAGGGAATTGGCTGAGTGATTGCAGAGCCATTGGCCATTATCTTTGAAAACTCGTGGCGATCGGGAGAGGTCCCGGATGATTGGAAAAAGGCAAATGTGCCCATAATTAAAAAAGGGAAGAAAGAGAAGCCGGGGAACTACAGACCGGTCAGCCTCACTTCAGTACCTGGCAAAATCATGGAGCAGATCCTCAAGGAATCCATTTTGAAGCACTTGGAGGAGAGGAAGGTGATCAGGAACAGTTAACATGGATTCACCAACGGAAAGTCATGCCTGACCAACCTGACTGCCGACTATGATGAGATAACTGGCTCTGTGAATATGGGGAAAGCAGTGGATGTGATATATCTTGACTTTAGCAAAGCTTTTGATATGGTCTCCCACAGTATTCTTGCCAGCAAGTTAAAGAAGTATGGATTGGATGACAGGGCTATAAGGTGGATAGAAAGCTGGCTAGATCGTCGGGCTCAACGGGTAGTGATCAATGGCTCCATGTCTAGTTGGCAGCCAGTTTCGAGCGGAGTGCCCCAGGGGTCGGTCCTGGGGCCGGTTTTGTTTAATGTCTTTATTAATGATCTGGAGGATGGTGTGGACTGCACTCTCATCAAGATTGCAGATGACACTAAACTGGGAGGCGTGATAGATACGCTGGAGGGTAGGGATCGGATACAGAGGGACCTAGACAAATTAGAGGATTGGGCCAAAAAAAACCTGATGAGGTTCAACAAGGACAAGTGCAGAATCCTGCACTTAGGACGGAAGAATCCCATGCACAGCTACAGACTAGGGACCGAATGGCTAGGTAGCAGTTCTGCAGAAAAGGACCTAGGGGTCACAGTGGACGAGAAGCTGGATATGAATCAACAGTGTGCTCATGTTGCCAAGAAGGCTAACGGCATTTTGGGCTGTATAAGTAGGGGCATTGTCAGCAGATCGAGGAACGTGATTGTCCCCCTTTATTCAACATTGGTGAGGCCTCATCTGGAGTACTGTGTCCAGTTTTGGGCCCCACACTACAAGAAGGATGTGGAAAAATTGGAGAGAATCCAGCGGAGGGCAACGAAAATGATTAGGGCGCTGGGGCACATGACTTACGAGGAGAGGCTTAGGGAACTGCAGAAGAGAAGAGTGAGGGCAACAAAAATGATTAGGGGGCCATAGTAGGCTTCCTAAGATCCTTTGGGAAAAACTAGCAGATGTGGTGGAGGTGGAGTATGATTTGCCAGGACAACAAATTCTTGGCTGGGGGAGGACTCCAGGGTTTGGGGCTCATGTCCCTCCACCTCTCACAAAGCTCTGGGCTCCAGGCACTCGCTGCCTCTGGAGTGAGATTAACATATTAAAAAAATAACGTGTTAATCGTGCTATGAATTAATCCTTAATTGACAGCCCTAGTGCAAAGTGAAAGGTGATGGGAACTTATCAGTTGGAAGTGAGAGAGGGAGAAGTAAGACCTGGGTATACTGGTTGATGACTATGAGTTGCCATTGTGATGCAGCTGTGAAAAAAGGCTAATTCAGTCCTAGGATGCATCCGGCGAAGTATTTGCAGTAGAGATAGGGAAGTATATTACCTTTGTACAAGGCACTGGTGAGACCTCATCTGCAGTACCGGGTGCAATTCTGGTCTCCCATGTTTAGCAAAGATGAATCCACAGAGGAACAGGTTCAGAGAAGGGCTGTTAGGTGACCAGAGGAATGGAGAAACTACCTTACAAAAGGAGACTTAAGGATCTTGACTTATTTAACGTAATAAAACGAAGGCTGAGGGGAGGTGTGATGCTCTCTATAAATATATCAGAGGGATAAGTATCAGGAGAGAAAGGTGCTATTTAAGTTAATGGCCAGTGGCAGTACAAGAACAAATGGTTATAAACTGGCCATCAACAAGTTTAGGCTTGAAGTTAGATGAAAGTTGCTAGCCATCAGAGGTGTGAAGTTCGGGAACAGCCTTCCAAGGGGAGTAGTGGGGGCCAAAAAACTAACTTGTTTCAAAACTGAGCTTAATAAATAGGGCTATCAAGTGATTAAAACAATTAGCCATGGTTAATCACAGTTTTGATTCCACTGGATAAAAAGACGGTTATGTGTAGCTATTGCAAGGCTAAGTTCCAATATCATCAAAGTATTTCAAGTCTGCAGCACCAGTCCATGCTAAACATGCTTTCACCTTGAGTTCTTGTGCTACAGATAAACCACTGACAGCAAATGAATCCCACCAGCTAGGACAGAGTTTCAGGATTGCTGCAAGCCCATGAATCAAACACTGTACAACAGCTCAACCAATGCTATTGCAAAGTGGATAGCTAAGGACTGCAGACCACTCACCATTGTAAACAACAGAGGGTAAGAGATATTATTCAAATTGCATCTTCCAATCAGTCATGTGCCTTGCCCTCCCATTGCATTAGGAACACATGACCTATATTGCAATGAGAAAACTACAAAGTTGGAGCTTTTGGAAATGCACGAGCTGTAGCTTTGACTGGTGATCACTGGACATCCTGGAGCAATCACAGCTATCTTGGAGTCACGGCACACCTGACTGATTCTGCATGGACACTGCAGTTGTTTGCTTTCACAGTAACACATACTGAAGAGAGACATTATACTAAAACATATGTAGAGCGTTTCTTGGATGTTGCGAAAGAATGGAATATTCAAGAAAATGTAACAACGATTAGTATTAACAGTGCACTCAAAACTGTGATTATTCACAACTAATTTTTTTAATAGTGATTAATTTGTTTTGAGTTAATCACTGAGTTAACTGCAATTAATTGACAGCCCTAGTTGAAACTTTAGTAGAGAAGAGAATGATCAGACACATAGATGAACACAATTTATTGGGGAAGAGTCAACATGACTTATGTAAAGGGCTATCATGCCTCACCAAGTATCAGGGGGTAGCCGTGTTAGATGCCTCACCAATCTATTCGAATTTTTTGAGGGGGTCAGACATGTGGACAGGGGTGATCCAGTGCATATAGTTTACTTGGACTTTCAGAAAACCTTTGACAAAGTTCCTCACCAAAGGCTGTTAAGCAAAGTAAGCAGTCATGGGATAAGAGGGAAGGTCCTTTCATAGATCAGTAACTGGCTAAAAGATAGGAAACAAAGGGTAGGAATAAAAGGTCAGCTTTCAGAATGGAGAGAGGTAAACAGTGGTTTCCCTAAGGATCTGTACTGGGACCGGGGCTGTTCAACATATTCATAACTGATCTGGAAAAAGGGGTAAACAGTGAGGTGGCAAAATTTGCAGATGATAAAAAACTACTCAAGATAGTTAAGTCCAAAGTAGACTGCGAAGAGCTACAAAGGGATCTCACAGAACTGGGTGACTGGGCAACAAAATAGCAGTTCAATTTTGATAATTGCAAAGTAACGCACATTGGAAAACATAATCCCAATTATGCATACAAAATGATGGGGCCTATATTAGCTGTTCCCACTCAAGAATGAAATCTTGGAATCATTGTGGATATTTCTCAAAACATCTGCTCAATGTGCAGCGGCAGTAAAAAGCGAACAGACTGTTAGGAACCATTAGAAAAGGGATAGATAATAAGACAGTAAATATCCTAATGCCATTATATAAATCCATGGTTTGCTCACACCTTGAATACTGTGTGCAGTTCTGGTCACTCCGTCTCGAAAAGATATATAAGAATTGGAAAAGGTGCAGAGAAGGACAAGAAAAATAATTAGTGTATGGAACAACTTCCACATAAGGAGAGATTAAAAAGACGGGACTATTCAGGTTGGAAAAGAGACAACTAAGGGGGGATATGATAGAGGTCTATACTATCATGACTGGTGTGGAGAAAGTAGATAAGGAAGTGTTATTTACTCCTTCTCATAACACTAGAACCAGGGATCACCTAATGAAATTAACAGGCAACAGGTTTAAAACAAACAAAAGGAAGTATTTCTTCACACAATGCACAACCCGTGGAACTCGTTGCTGGGGACGTTGTGCAGGCCAAAATTATAACTGAGTTCAAAAAACAATTAACCAAGTTCATGTAGGATCGGTCCATCAATGGCTATTAGCCAGGATGGGCAGGGATGCAACCCCATGCTCTGGGTGTCCCTAGCTTCTGTATGCCAGAACCTGGGGGTGGACAATGGGATGGATCACTCGATAACTGCCTGTTTTGTTCATTTCCTCTTGAGCACCTGGCATTGGCCACTGTTGGAAGACAGGATACTGGGCTAGATGGACCATTGGTCTGACCCAATATGGCCGTTCTTATGTTGATCCACTCTGTGCCCTGAGTCTGGGGCATCACCTCAGCCACCCAGTCCACGCATAGGAAAGAGCTCGGGTATTTAACTGGAAGCTAGGATTTATTTCTAATTGTATTCATTATTTGAATGGAAGCCGAGCCTGCATTATACACCCAGGATAATTTAGATTCATGCCCTTGATAAGGAATCCCTTACCTGATCCAGTAGCTCCAGGCATTAGAGGACTGTAGTTGAGGGAATAATACGCAGATTTACTTAAATGTTTATCTTTCTTTAGCGTTGAGATCCAACTCTCCTCACTTGGGGCACTCACAGCTCCGTCCGCACACACAGCCAACACTCGGAATCTGTAGGGCGTCTCAGGCCTCAGTCCATCAATATTACAAGATCCACTTCTATCTCCTGTCCTTCGTTCCAGCCATTTGCCTTTCCCCTCCTGACCCGTATCTCCTGTCTTCTCTTTATATTCCACCTGATACTCCCTTATACTGACTCCATCTCCAGTGACACTTGGACTCTCCCAGGTGAGAGTTATGGCAGATGAATCTACAATATCTGTTACAGGCTTCCCAGGCGGGCTGGTAGGAAGAGTCTTCACAGGATCACTCATGTCGCTGCTCTCGCTGAGCCCTGGTTTGCTCACTGCAGCGTATCGGAACTGGTACTCGGTGTTTGCACGTAGCCCTGTTACTGTGAATGTCACTTGTGTGTTATTTACAGTCACAGCCGTCCAGTTCTCCTGCCCTACAATTCTGTACTCTGCCCGATAGCCGGATATCGCAGCCCTGCCACAGGCTGCTGGGTTAAACGTGAGCTGCACACGGTCATGTCTGATTCCATCTATCAGGGGAGGAAGAGGCTTTAATGGAGGCTCGAAATTGTGGCTGTCCAGCTTTCCATCTGCATACAGGTAAATGGAAGCTCCTGGATGCTCCTCATCTGGAACGGAGGCCACAATGAACCGGGTCTTTTCTTGAGATTTATTGACCTTGGTAAAGTCAGAGAAGGACTTTGCAAATTTTCGTGCTTTTCTTCTTATCTCTTCATCCTCAAACCACTGTTTGGAGTTTGATTTCTCATAGGGAGAACTGGCTGGTGCTGATTCCTGATTTTTCTCCAGAAGCCAAAATTTCAAATCTGATACATATGGTTGTTTGTTGTGTAATGAAGTGAGTGTAAAAGACACAACAGAATCATGCTCAGGGCTGAGTACTATTTTTTCTAGTTCACTCTTGGAGGATACGACTTCCACATTCTGTAGCACACTAAGGTAGGAATCCACTAAATTCATCTCTCGCTCCTTTGTATCCAGAAATTCATTGAGTCTCTGTGTATTGAATGGTGATTGTTCTTTGCTGCTTAAAATGTCCACCAGGGCCCCTTCCTCGGCTCCTCCTCCACGGATACAGGGTACGAGTTCTGTTAGCTGTCGCTGGAAAGCTTGTCTGTACTGATTACACAGAGCTTGGAATTGCTGGACTTTCCTCTTCATTTCAGGGAAAGTTGTGGCAGTCCTGTCCTTCATCATGTCATTGCACCGCATGTCTAGTTCTGTGAGGTGCTCCATGACAGCTTCAACATTGGAAATCAGCCCAACGCTGATCTCACGTATCAGCTGAGTGCTTCTGGAATCTTGCTTGATGAGTGGATACAGCCAGACTATCACTGGTACGGCCTTCTCCCCATTGGCTCCCAGCAGCTTGGGGAGGGAAGAATAAACTTTTATAGCATCTTGATAAGTAACTGGATTGTTCTCGGGACCAAAGTCACCATAGAACATACAAGTGATTTTTTCAGTATTTTCTATTTCCTTATCATCCATTTTGGATTCTCCATCTTTTTCTGAAATCTTTGGTATTTTTTCTATCATAAGTTTCATCTTTCCCTGTATCTCTTCTACGCTCTCAAGTAAAGAAACTTCCCGATCAAACACAAAGAAAGCCTGAGCCCCATACAGCACAGCCGTGACCACATGGGTTGCTTTGCCTTGGTCGAATACAGCAGGATAAGAGACCTGCTGTCCTAAATGGCTCATTGTCAGATGCTCAGACCTCGTTGTCATTTTGTATTGGAGAGTAACTCGGGCCTGATGACTGGATTTCCTGGTGTCACTTAAATATACAGCAGATCCAGTCATTTCAACTAAACCACACAGGAAACTGGCCTTCAGTGATTCACCAGCATGGAGTGCAGAGGCCTTAGCCGCAATGGTGTCAGATGCAATAACCTGAAATTCAGTCTTGTATTGTTTCTTCGTATCCACATCCTTTCTAAGAGCCGCACTGTCCAACAGTGTGATACCTGCAAAATTCCAAACACAGAGTGACTAACAGACAGGCTAGGAAATCTTTCCACAGTTTAAGCATGTCTAGAGCATGAATTGGGCCAGGTCATACTGGGTTGTTGACCAGATTTTTTTCTTTTTAGCTGCCATCTTGTTCTCCAGAATCTCAGCTTTCATTTCAGATTAAGTCTCTAGCCCTCGTGGTTGTGAAGAATAAAATATGACCCAAGTGTAACCACTCCAGTGAGGTTTACCTGAATCTGCAGAAACAATAGCCCAGAAAGGTCTGAAGTGCCCCAGTCATCTCCATAAGGGGTTAAACGAGATGCCCAATGCCCAATGACAGTAATTTAAATGTCAACATTGCTAATGATGTCACTGCTGCACAGTCTAGTCTGCACTAGAAGAGCTACATCGACACAGCTGCACCATTGCAGCTGCGCTGCTGTAACGCATCTGGGGATGAGGCTCTAAGTAGAGGGGAGACAGCTCTCCCATCCCCATAACTCCATCTCCGTGAGAGGTGGTAACCATGGCGATGGGAGGCGCTCGCCCACCGACAGAGCGCTGTCCACACTGGCGCTAAACTTGACATAAATTATGTGGCTCGGGGGATGTGGATTATTCCCACCCCGAGAGATGTAAGTTATACCAAAGTAAGTAGACAAGCCCTCAAAAAGGAGAGGGAGCGTCACAGAGCTGCACAATCTACTGGGATTGACACTTCATTTTGGTGCCACGTGTGGGAGGCAGGTAGGTGCTATTGTGACAGTGGGATATTTCAGTATCAAATTATGAATTTTATTTTGTATTACTTGTAACCTCCCCCTTTCCTTCCTGGGTTACTTGAGAGCAGGCAACTCTCACCTGTTGCCTGGGCACCTTACGTTATTAAGGATAATGGTGATCCTGGGGGTCCCAGCTGAGATGGGAAATTAGGTGGGAATCCTTAAGTAACCTCCCTGCAGTAGTTCTTTTACTGTTAGGAATATTTATAGTTGGTGGTGCCGCCACCTGGACAGGCACTGAATACATCTGTGTTTGTACTTCGGTTGCCTCCAGGACCAAAAATATCAATAATGGATCTTATGCAGGCAAAATAAAACCAACACACTTTTACTTAAAATAATATTATGGAGATATATCTATCTCATAGAACTGGAAGGGACCCTGAAAGGTCATTGAGTCCAGCCCCCTGCCTTCACTAGCAGGACCAAGTACTGATTTTGCCCTGGATTCCTAAGTGGCCCCCTCAAGGATTGAACTCATAACCCTGTGTTTAAGAGGCCAATGCTCAAACCACTGAGCTATCCCTCCCCCAAAATGTACCCTAACAGCGCACAATAGAAAATGCACCAGAGTAACATGGATTAAGTCTTGCATCTGAAGAAGTGAGGTTCTTACCCACGAAAGCTTATGCTCCCAATACTTCTGTTAGTCTTAAAGGTGCCACAGGACCCTCTGTTGCTTTTTACAGATTCAGACTAACACGGCTACCCCTCTGATACATGGATTAAGTTGTTCTACCCCTACCAGATCAGTAGGTGGCGCTGCAATCGCTCAGCTAATGACTGCAGCTTTCAACAGCAAGTTGCAATCTAACCCTAACCAGCACTCTTGGCAATATTCACAGCTCCGCCCATCCCAGAGTGCGCGCTCTCCCTGAGCCCTATAGTTCTGGGCCCTCTCCTGCATCGGCTACTGAATGAGCA